AAAGTTATCTCATTACGCATTCAGAATATATTACGCAATGGAAAATTGAACTAATAAAGCACATTCAAGTTCAAGCCCCAAAACTGACTAATTTTAAATCGAAAACGATAAGAAGCACTTCTTACAGAAGTTTGGACAAAATTTAACTGACATTACTTCCAGTATTTTAAACAGTTTTTCGGCAACTTTAGCTAAATTTCAAGCGCCAGAAAAAGCATGCACGTGACGTCACTGAGTACATGTTAGGAGAATTTTAACGTCGATCTTTTGAGTAAAATTGTTTACTATGTAATATCTTCTATTTATATTGTAAAATAAATAGAAAAACTCGTCTCGTGCGTTTATTGTGCGATAATGTTACCCCTCGTGTTTTACACGCTTCTCTCGTATTCTCACACTGAACATTCCCCTCGTGCATTATCACACCATGAACGCACGCGACTCGATCGTTTTCTATTTCTTAAATAATCATCCATATGAACACACCCACTATATAATCAGACATTTCTCACTTCCTTCTTATTCAGACATTTACTGAACATTTAAGGGGGGGGGGGGGATTTTCCGTCGTATCATACCGAAATTTATGTTTGTGACCTAATTTTTAAAAAAAATTTGTAAATTTCCACACAAAAACGGCACCTATTGTTTTAATTTAGTATTTACAGCGACATTAGCTTCTACAAAAGGGGCACATTTCCTCACAAAAAAGGGCACTTTTCAACACAAAAAGGGCACTTTTTATCACAAAAAAGGGCACTTTTAGTCCTTTAAAAAAATTTGGGGGGGCACGTGCCCCCCGTGCCCCCCCGCTTCCTACGCCCCTGTAGTTATGTTTTTAAATCGAAGGCTTGTATTTGTATTACAGGTAATACTTTTTTACCGAAGGCATCTAAACGTTCAGTTGTAAATTTTCGATTAATTTCTATTAGCAGAAGTGTATAAATTTAATCTACACTCTACTTATCTGTGTTTTAAGAAAATCGTATAGCTTATTTGTGTGATATACGTGTATGCTGTATTTTCTGTGAAATATTTGCCATTTATAGTTGGCGTGCATTGTATACTTATGCACCTATCAATGTTAACCCCCAGAGGGGGGGTGGGGTCGGGCATATGTGGGGTATTTGATCATCAATTGCATCCCCACCCTGGGGATTTTGATCAGCATTTTGGCCCCAAGTTGGGGCAATTTGAACCAATTAACCTTTATTAATATAGTATTTATTGCAATTTATTGCAAAATAGTGGGGCATTTGACCGATATTTATTGCCCGACGGTGGGACATTTGATTGAAAATTTGCTCAAAAAGTCAAATGCCCCACCTATGCCCGACCCCCCCCCCCCTCTGGGGCTTAACATTGATAGGTGCATTACAAATGACATAAATACAATGTGATTTGTTTGAAGTCAAATTAATAGCATATACTATTAGATAGCATTGTAATAGCTAGCCCATCTCCCAATATTACCCAATGTATGGCATGTGCTTGCTATGGTATTAAACCCTCCTATCGGTCACCCTAAAACATGTGTGAAGAGCTGCTTTAATATATGGTCAAGAAAGCCAGCCCAGGTAGCCCAGCTATACTGTAGCTTGCTTTCCTTGGATGAATGTCTGTTTACATGAGCCTCTTTAGATGGGCAGGCTCGCCAAATCGAATCAACCAGACTGAGATTTATAATAGAAGCACATTTTCCAATACGGTAACCAACATCACACTTTTGCAGACAGTTTCGAAATATAACTGATAAAAACAATTACCGAGATATTTTAACTCTTTAAATGGCAATGTGCCCTCCTTTATTATTTTACTTTGTCTAACATCAGACAATTTTACTTGTCAGGAGGAGAATCTGCCCCTCAATGGGTTAATCAGATTATCTGCCCTTAAATTAAAGATGCCCAGATTTTTGCGGCAAGGCAACTTGCCCAATCGGGCAAGCAAGATAAAACGTTTACTTGCCCGTCATGAATTTCACTTGTCTCGGGCAATTAGTGGGCAAGTGTTAAGTTACACCTCTGCTTGCTTTGTACACTAGAAAACAACCAAAAATAGCAAATTCATTGTCACTCAATAATTTGCTTCTGTTATATATCAACCTTATATATTTTTTCTTAATAGTGCTTGCATTTAATATGGATTCATTATATCCTGTGATGCTGAATGAAAAGTTATCGAAGCATCCCAGGAGAAGGCAAGTCATCTAAAAAAGTGGCAATATATATAATCATTAATGGCATTCTAAGTGCTTCATGGTCTATTTGGAAAATGTTATTCTTTTGCTGGAGAGCATGTTTACGGATTACCAAACCATGCAAGGAAAGGACTAGGAGTTGCCGACTGGTGGTATAGTACAGCTTGTTTTGTACTAAAATTTAACTAATGGACTTGCACGACATTAGACCATATATATGCTTGATTGAGCACTGACACTACATGCAGTGTATGTTACTTGTAATTCAAGATTGAACAGAATGTTTAGCCCTTTAAGTGGCAATGTGCTCTTCTTTATTATTTTATTATTTTGTGTCCCATGCAAGGTATGCTGCCACTCAATGGGTTAAAGTCTTTCTGTAGATGGACATTTTGAACAATAACTATATAATAGCTATTGTGCCGGGAATGAAACCCCTGTCATTCGGATCAGCTCCTTAATTGCAAAAAGTCCATCAAGCCCCAAGAGTCAATGAAGGTCACCAGGAGTTTATGTATATAATACTGATACCAGTTAACTTAATATACTACCACTAACACCTGACCATGGTTTATATACAGTATGTACAGCAACTTGTGGTGACCTCTTGGCAAACAAACACTTTAAGTCAGAGGGCAGCAGTAGAATTTCAGGGCTGTAGGCAGGGTTCGAATTAATTCTGAAAAAATGGTTCGTGAATTAATTTTCTTATTTTAAGGAAATTTTAAGGAATTTTCAAGGAATTTTCTCTAATTGGAAGTTAAAAAGTGGAAGCACTGCAATTTTCGAATATATAATACGACCATAGATACGACTATAATATACATCGCAAACTCGCAAAGAATTAGAATTTTGGGTGGAATTATAATCGTTTTTAAGTACAATCTAACAACAATATCTTCAGAATATATGATCCTTCATTACATTTACAAAGAACTGAATTTATTATTGTACATTTTTATCAATTTGAGAAACTTTTGATTCGTGATTTTGATCAATTTCTATGAAATTGGGTTCGTGAAAAATGAAAATTGATTCGTGATTCACGAATCACGAACCGTTATTTCGAACCCTGTGTAGGTTCAGTTTATGCTGGCAGACTTGCAATTGCTCTCTGAGTTATTGAAGTGTGTTTGTTCACTGCAACCAGGTATATCAATCATGTTTCGCTTGCTACTCTGGATTAAATAAATAATTGCAAAGCCCGGTGGAATTGCAATCAAGACCCAGCGTTTAGACACTCCAGTCTAGTGTCTTCTTTAGGGCTGATCTAAAGTTGTAATTGTGGCTTCTTAAATACCCAAAGGATGACATCACCTGCCAATGAGATGCATGTATTCCTCCGGCAAATAGGCACCGTCATCCCTATTCACAGCATAATTACTCATATTTATATGCCATGCTTCTAGGCATAGTCTTTGACCATGATAGCGATTGTTTGTGATAATTACTTTAGATTTTTCACCCGACACAATCTCGTGTTTGGTGTCACACACATGTTCTGATAAAGCTGATTTCCCTTGTTTTAAAGTTGAAACAGCCTAATTTTGATGTTCTTTTAGCCATGTACCAAACTGGTGTTTAGACTGACCCAAATACTCTTTTACGCAGTCACCGCATGGTATAGAATATACAGCACGAGTTTTCTGATTTGTTTTAACAGGATCTTTTGGCTTTGCGAAAATATGGCCTAAAGTCAAATACGGTTTTAAGGCAACCTTAATATTACATGTATCTCATTGGCAGGTGACGTCATCCCTTGGGTATTTAAGAAGCAACAATTGCAACTTTAGATCACCCCTGATGAAGACACTAGAATGGAGTGTCAAAATGTTGGGTCTTAATTACAATTCAACTGGACTTTGTAATAATTTATTTAAACCAGATTAGCGAGCGAAACATGCTCTCAGTTAGTTCTATGAAACACATGTTAACTGTACAGTTTCCATTTGAAATGTCCATCTACAAAAATCCATGATCAGTCTGCTATTATTGCCTTACTATAGTAGGCTGTTGATTGTCTCCTATATTTAATATTGTCTATTTGCAACATTCTGCAATCCATCATATTATGCAGCCATGATATCATCAATCAAACTTTGAACTTAGAACTGCATTCAAAGAATGTTATCGAGCGTAAGAATATATCATTATATGCTAAAGCAAATTGTATTTCCTGTTACAATACTGTATACTGTACCTTTTATATAGAGGAATAATAAATTATTTTGACTTAAAAATGTCTTTATTGATTTCTTAGGTTAATCAATCTGGTGTGTTACAGCAGCACGCCTTAAGTTGTGTTACAGCAGCACACTTTAAGGTGTGTTACTGTAGCACGCCCCAAGGTGTGTTACTGTAGCACATCTTCAGGCGTGTTACAGCAGCACACCTTAAAGGTGTGTTACAGCAGCACACCTTAAAGGTGTGTTACAGCAACACACCTTTAAGGTGTGCTACAGCAACACACCAAGGCGTGCTAACAAACACACCAAGGTGTGTTAGCAAACACACCTTTTCTCAAAACACACCTAAAGGTGTGCTGTTTTCTGGACAAGCGAATAACACACCTAAAGGTGTGCTACTGTAACACACCTTAAGGTGTGTTGTTTTCTGGACATAAAAGGTGTGTTGCTTTAGCACACCTTTTTTTAAGAGTGTACGACTTTAATTTGTCATCTTTGTCTTTGGATTTGTTTAATTTTCTTTCAGAGAATGTAATAATTATATATATATATATGAATAATAACATTTATATTAATATATAATCCTATATTGAGTCTCAGAATACTATATTTCCGGCATATATGATTTACTCTATATAAAACAAGACAAACATCGTATCATCACTCTTCGTATTCGTACCACCACTAAGAGATCCCGTTCCAGAGATAGCCAGATATTTTGATGGATATGACTTAGAGCGAATTGAGAAAAATCCAGTAATTACTCGCAATTCGCTGGTCAACACTGCTTCTTTCGTTTCATTTACCTAGAAAAAAGATTAAATTTTGAGTACATTTCTCATAGATTACCTTTAATAAAGCCAATAACTTTGAGATGGAGTGAAGGACCTTTCACAATTGTTACAGCTAGACCCAGACGAGAGTAGTTCATATTATAGACTCAGACAGATCTAGAAAAAAGTGGGATCCTGAATAGCTCGATTTTTTGCCTTAGCAAGCAGATTAGAGAATATTTCGAATTTACTCAATATAAGTTAAGGGAGAATCATAAAGAATCATTATTATTAAGAGGAAATTTTTTCAACGTCGCGTATTTGCAATGAAAAGTCTTCAAAACCTAAAATCTTTTTGGCGTTTCTCTCAAAATTTGTTTTAGCTTTATTTTGTAGTTAAGGCAGTTAGCAACCTTTTTGAATGTATCTGGCGGTTGAGAAACACAAAGTAATAGTTAAATATTGTCAATCTAAACACAATTATCATTGCTGTAAAATTGGTAGCCTGCGAACAGGCTCTTTGAATTGAATTAGAGCCTGCCGATTTAGTCAATAAAAATACGTCTGTGTCTATCTTGTTAATAGTGTTGTCAATCAAATGTAAAATGTGTCAAATTTTAATGATTAATTACAAAATTACAATGTGACAAATTAATATCAGGCACGCGGCTTATGTAATAGCCTGCGAATATATAGATGTAAACAAAATGCAAATCTCGATTTCAACGTATAACCCAGCGGGCAAAATGACGTTTATTCAACGTTGAATCAACGTTGGAAATGACCTTCCAGACGTTGGATAGACGTTGAAAAAGGGTTGACTATGCAAATTGGATCGACGTTGCTGTTTCGACGTTGAAACAACGTTGAAATTAGGTTGCCAATCTCGTCAACCATAATTCAACGTTGAATCCACGTTAAAACAACGTTGAGATTGGTTCACAAATCGACGTCGTACATTTAACCATGAATGAACGTTAATTCAACGTCTGTTGGCTGCTGTTGAACCAATGTTTGTAAAACAACGTCAGAGCAACGTAGATATTAGGTTGTCGACGTCGCAACCTTTTTTCTACCAAATTTCAACGTTGAAACAACGTCGCGTGCCCGGTGGGAACTGATTGTTTACAACAAGTCTGTAATGTCAAGTTGGAAAGAAACTCCAAAAAAATTTACTCGTAAAAAACCGCTAAAAATGTGAACGAATTTTGCCATTGTTGCAATGCTTCTTTAAAAGTAAAATACGGAGATACAGTACATGCATGGAAGTCCGTTTCAATAGTGAACTTGCTCAAGTCAAGCCAACAGTAGGGCAAGATAGTTTTGAAGTTCTTTTGCAAAATATAGGGATGGTTTGTGAGAGAGGTCCAGAATGGTCTGAAAGATTATGCGGGACATGCATAAAAATAAAATGTGCATTTTGAATTTGTATTTTCCTTTCACCAGTCCACGTCTCAATGACGTGAGATTCGTCTATAACAAAAGCAACCAAACGATTAATACGCAAATGACAACTTGAATATTTTAAAGCGTCGATACTACACTTGTTAAGAACGTTTTCGGCCGATCCAAATATCAAATGAAATTTCCCCGATTTCATGTCCCCTGTGTTTGGTTCGTCACTAACGCAAACCGAGCCAATACCAAGGTCCTTAGCTTCTTCCATTTAGTCCTCTATAATACTAATTAGAGGACAAATGAATAAATGATTATGGTTATAGCGGGTTCTTTTCTTTTCCTCTCCTGGACGAAGACCGAAAGTTGGATATTATAAAGCTTTTGCCGTATAGCCTGTTGGTAATACCAGTGTCATGCATTAGTGAGTTTGGCAACCAACAAAGGCGATGGCAGAAAACAAAATTATTTATACTTTTGTATTATTTTGAGCGAAAACATACATTACTAAACTTTTAAAAGCACTTGTCTATCTTTCAAACAACCCTGAAATTCCCTGAAGTAGCAATAGTAAGTGAATTCACATAAAACACCGCAAAGGAGTGAAGGACTTTAACGTTTTACTCTGTTGGCGTGGTCATGAGCCGCGAAAATGATGTAAATAACGTAGCAGTTTGAACAACTACGGCGTACTAGAATGTTCAAAGACAAAATTAAGGAATACAATTTATAGTCGCCTTTGTCTTAGAGTAAAGATGCTATTGTTGATATAAGTACGTTGCCGTCGCCGTTATATTTGCCAAACTCTCTTATAGCCTACAGCAAAAAACATCGTTTCCGTCTAGAATATTGCTAAGAGCTTTTGACTGCCCATCCTTTAACTTTAAACAAAAATTTAGTTTTCTATACAACTCGTCTAATACATTTTTTATCGCTATACAGGGTGTATCAAAAAAAGCGCAATTCTCGACTGAAATGTAAATTGCTAAACAAATAATAGACGAAAACGTTAAAGTTTACATTCATTTTAAAGCGTAGCCATTCAGC